TATATATATATATATATATATAGAGGCTGAAATGAAGTAAAAAATCTCAATGACATGTGTTTTTCATAAAATGTTTTAAAAAAGTTGTATTTTCATTATAGTTACAACATTTCTCCCCAAATATTACTAAAATTGAAGATCTTAACTTTTTTTGTTAAATCTTCTTAGGGTATTGTTTTATAGCCTGCAAATGCTGATCAAATGTAAGCTTTTGAATGTCACCTTAATAACAGCTTGCAGTTCTAAAACAAGATCACCTATGGAAATCAGAAAAGAATGATTTGAAAAGATGAAAACATAGAGGTGGTGGGATATCCAATGAATTGTACATTTTGATGAAGTATAAAATGTGTACATAGTGGTAACTTTTGAGTTAAAATGCTTCATGGCAAAATAGAATAAGAATGAACAAACTGAACTGTTATTACACAGAAAAAGGGAGTCATGTTTATCTGAGTAACAAAATGTGAGAATAGTAAATAGTTTAAACCAAAAAGATTGCCAACTTGCACAAAAAATACAATTGTTCATTCACTCTCTAAGTTGAACTCAAAAGGTAATGAAAATTTAAAACAAAATTTCAGCATTGCATTTTTAGTTGCATAAAGATAGATGTCACTTAAAAAATCTGCACTAATATCAAAACTTTAGAAGAAACATCTGTACTAAAAATTCATTATTTTACATTGTTTTTTTGTGAAGACACCTGTATAAATACTGAAAAAGAATCATGTTCTGCTTTATGTGTTGATCTCATAAATTGGTAGAAGTTTTGTCCCCCAGTGGTAAGTCTGAAGTCTTATTATACTAAAAACTAGGTTCTAGGTTTCGATACCTGTGATGGGCACAATACAGATGGCACGTTGTGTAGTTTTGTGCTTAACAACAAATAAACAAAAAAGAAATTTTTCTTTTTGAAAGCCATTAAATTGATTTTGGAGCTAAAGAGGCCAGCAAGAATCTTGGAATTAAAGGAAGAGAGAGCTAATCTTTGCCAAAAATGATGTAACTATTAAATTGTGCATTTATGTTCATTGTACATCACACTGTCTTGAATTTAATGCAATGAATGCATAAAACTCAAGGAAATTATCTAAAACTATTGATGAAACATTGTTGAAATATATTTTCTGCATAAGAATAGTTTAAAGGAAATAGATACTTTAATGGCTTACCCGAAGCTGAGAATTTGAAAGTAAGTGGTCCAGGTAAATCTGATGGAATGTTAGCTGATTCATAAAATTCAAAAAAGTTAGTGAACTCTCATGCTTCTATTAAGCCATTTATTCATGAATGAATTATTCAAAGAGATTGATGGAAAAATTCATAGGTTTGTTATTACTATGTTTTGTTCAGAGATGCAAAAATTTGTCTATTTCCAGAATACCCTTTGGAGATTTTTTTCTTCTGTTGTTCTTAGCCTAAAATTTCAAAAGGAAGGCATTGACACAGTTTCTACTGTCAAAGAATGGTAAAGTTTTAGGAACTTGAAAAACAATAAAGAGAATCATATTTTAATTATACATGTGGCGGCGTCAAAAAATTTTTCTTATATGTTAATAAAGTCAGTACTGAATATTGCCATTCTTAGATAAAATGCTGCTTGTAATAGACGTCAGCAAAACTCTTCTGATGGTGCAAAAAAACTTAATATATCTAGAAAATGTACACTTTATCAGTTTTGAAATATCTGACTTAATAAGATTAATTAAGGATAATGTAACACTGTCATCAAATGTTCCATTGATAGGTTCAATAACATATTGGAAGATTACATTATGCTTATAATAATGCTTTGGACATGCTGAATTTTATCCTGTTGACTAAGATGGGTGAGCCACATCTGGTAATGAAGAATTAGATGTAGCAATCCAAAGATTTGGGGAAGTGCTAAAGGAAAATTATTACAACATCAACCAAGTTAAAGATGAATGTAGAACTACTGCTTACATCAACAGATATTAAATCAGTGGTGTACTTGGGTGTTATAGAAGCACTTCTTGTGGTTCCTGAGCATATTGCAACATTGGAACACATTTCCTCTTGCATAAGTCGGATTCACACTGATTGGAAAAATAATTCAAATGAAGGGACTATTGTAAAGACTTCCCATAATCAGACAAAACAGACTCCCAGGAGATCAATTTGACCCCCAAATAGCAGTTAACAAGTGGACTATCAAATATTAAGATTTTCAATTTACAACATCACAGTAGAACCCACTAAGGTTTTCCCTGATCATCTTCATGCAAGGACTTACAAATGGAAGTATTACAGACAGTGTGAAAAATTGAAACAAGTACAATGAACGTAATGGTAATGAATATATGAATATGACATATTATAAATCAAAATGAAGAATCAGCCCTCAGCAGATCAGTAATATAGAATGATGGCTATTTAGCATTTGATCTGTGAACTTCCTCTACCCTCCCACAAATAAATTTTTATTTTTTTTTCTATTTATTTCACACCCTGCCTTTTCTCATGGTTTTACAAAGCTTTTTAACGTTAGGGCCTTAGTGGAAGTTTTAGTTGCTTTTTCCAGTAGTTTAACTTTCTGATGTATTAGTTTGTTGTTTTGTATTAGACTGTATAACAACTTTCACTTTTATGTCCAAATGTAAATTTTTACATGTTTTATGTTCATATTTACATGCAGGTACAATAACATCTTGATTAACATAACTGCTTGTAAACATGTAAAAATGTATAAAATTGTTTCATTAATTTATCTCTATTCTCAAAACATTTATTTTCTGCAAGTTAAGTTGATTAGCATGGAATATTGAGGTTCTGGCACATTGAGTAACATGAATAAACTGAATTAAAAGTAGTTTAGACATAACGTAAAGAGAGAGAGAGATTTCTGTTAACCATGTAACAGTCTTTGTATGTACAACTATACATATATATTTGTATTGTAAAATTAACATTAAAGATATCTTCGAATTGATCTTATTGGATAGACAATTCAGTTTAAAAGATGAAGATTATTGAAAGGACTTGCTTATCAACAGGTATGCCAGTTTATACTTTTGCTGTGCCATAGATCAAGATGATAATGAGCTTTTGACTCTGGAGATAATTCATCGTTATGTAGAACTGCTGGACAAATACTTTGGAAGTGTAAGTGCTGGATTTTGATGGTGAAATAAACTGTTTAATTTAATTTTTTTCAAATACTTTTACTGAATAGTAGATCTTAACTTAGATCTTTACTGATGAAGTAGAAATTGGAAATTTGTATCATCATGATAATTTAGTGTGTTTTTTGTTTAGCCATTACTTTTTTTTTACTTGTGGATTAAATAATGAAGTAAAAACTAGTACATAGTGGCTCGGAGCTGAGGTTTTAGTGGAATTTGATAATTGAGTAACTATTGGGTTCATTAACTGATTACATTCAACATATCCATTATTCTTATTTGAGACTTGGATAGTTGGAATAATCAAAAATAGTAATAATAGAAAACACTAATTTTGATGGGTTGAGTATTTTTGTGACATTAATCTATCTGATCATAATTTTGATTAATTATTTTACATGACACCAATTAATGTAATTGATACTCATAGGTAATTGATTGTACTGATTAATCAAGTTAATCACCCAGCTCTAGTGGCATAGTTGCAGAGAATATGAAATTGTATCTAAAGGTTTATTAATGGTATATGTTGAACCATAGCACTACCAGTAGGCACGTTTCAATTGTAGAGTGCACACTTGGATATCAAATTTTGAACCATGTTTTATAATTGATATTTAGTTAAAGTATTAAGTAAAAACTTTTAAAAAATGTTCCAACTTTTGTCTATAAACAACAACATTTACTTTTTTTTCTGCCCATCTCAAAGTATAGGATTTTATTTGCTAAAAAAAGTATCATCTTTAGATAACATAATTATCCATGTCTGTTAGTAGTAATATTACTACAGACCTTCATTCTCATTCTTTTATAATATCACAGCATGTGAGCTGAACAATTACAGATGAAGCATAGTTTTGAAATAGCTGTAGGCAATGTTTAAATATGATTAGATAGAATAGATTTTAAACTGTTTACCTCAATGTGGAGTAAATAAAGTGGTTTGAGCAGTAATTTATAGTTCCGATACAATATTTTACCTCACTCTATCAGCACAGATTTTTCACTTGCCACATGCCTTGTAACCACCACTTTTTTCTGCATATCTATATGCAAATAATCATGCAGGAACCCTCCATCAACACTAAACCTATCATAACTAGTGATCTCTCTAAAATTCACCTGTTAATCACCTCTCGATTGGTAGACTTACTGTATAGACGAGTTTGTTTTTTGCTTGCAATTTAGTTATTAGTTATTTAGTGTTTTCTAATTTAGTCACAGCCATTTATCCCTTTTTTTTTTTTTTAGTTGGAGAGTCACAATTTAAATTTCATTATCTACTCTCCTTTTCATTGTTTTGGGGTACATTTGCGTTTGGGAGTTGGTTTGCATTTTCTCCCATGTTTTTGCTTTTCTCATTCTACCTACCATAATTTGACTCGCACATTTTGAGTTTTTTGTTCTTCCAATATGGGGTTTGGATCCCGATGCTTCAGTTGCATTTCCCTACCTCAGAACTTTCCTGTTTTATCTTCCCTTTGCATTTGGTTGGGGTGGTTCTATAGTTTCATTGTGTGTTTTTCTATTGGTCATAGTCGTCGCATTTTTGCTATAATGGCATGCATTTCCTCTTCAGTCTTGTTTTATAGATGTGGCTGCTATGAAGTTGGTTTATTCTTGGTCAGGATCCAGTTTTCTTTAGGGTGCTTTTTACACTCCTTTACATGCATTGTGCATGGCACCTTTTTTCTTTCAATAAGTTTCCATAACTCCATTTCCACTGTTATATCACCATCCACTTTATTTCACACTCAGAAGGATCTCATTTCTTCCCAGCATCAGTCAGAGGTATCTTGGGTGTTACTTCTCCAGGGTCCCTTCTTTGAGGAGATCATTCTCCTTAGGGGTTTACACTCCTGTCTTGTGGATGAGGTATGTCGATGTGTCGGATATATGTCTCCATTTTCCTGTTTCCTTTGGCATCCAGATATTTTTCTTTGTTTTGTTCTTCATGGGTGTGTGTGTTTTCAGTTTAGATTGTTTCTATTCGGCATTGCCTTGGCTCCCTCTGTGTTTGGCTGAGTAGTCTAGATCTTTACTCATCTGCTTCCTTCTCTGAGCTTAGTGTACACTTTTCCAGGGATGGCTGGATACTTATAGCTTCCTCACTGGGTGTATATGCTCTTCATACTCAGTTTCTTCTTTGGGAAGCTGCCTATGTGAGTTGGCTCATCATGGTGGGGATTTCATTCATCACACCTGATCAATTTCCTCTTTGGTTACAAGCTCTGGTATGTACTTTAGGTAGCTTCTCATTGTTTCCCTTTCCTTATTGTATATGAAGTTCTCTCTCATTTGGGGACATGGGCTTCTCTTGCAGCCCTATTTCCTCTTGTTTGGGATCACTTGGATGCTCCTCTTACCCTTTCCCCTCACTAACAGTCTGTATTGACTGTTGGTTGGATAGGACCACTATTGCTGATAGGGTTCCTCTTTGTTCTCCTCATCTGAATTGTCCTTCCTACTGTCTCTTTGGGACAAAGTGGCAATGTTTCACTCTGACAATTGTATGGTAGGGTCCTACATCACCATGCATGGGGACATCTGGTTGAGTGTCCTTTGTTTTCAAACTTTCGATCTCCTGTATTTTGGGCCTGCTGTTCTTATATCATTTTGTGGCTATGCTGTCATTGGAAAGCCATGAATCTGGTCACCAGTTGGTAATACTGTCTCAACTGGATTCTCCCAATGGGGTAGTCTTTGAAACCTCTAGTTTTTTGGGTGTAGCCTGTGCTTTGAAGTTTCTCCGATGTGGACGTTTTTGCATCTCATTTTGATACACACTTTACCCATTTTCGGTCTCCTATTCCTCATTCCTTGGCAGGTGCAGTGGATGCTTGCTGTTGGGATTGGACAAATTGTTCTCCCTATACATGTCTGCTTCTTCGTATTCTTCCTTGTGTTCTCTCGATAGCTCATAACTTTCTGTGTTGAGCTCAGCTGGTGGCTCTGTCTTGACTCACTCTCATTTCTATAATGGTTTTTGGTGTCACCTCCCCATCATTTGCCTTAATTGTCCACACTCTGGCATGTGATTGCCATCCATTCCATCTGCACGCATGGCTTTTATCTTGTCCTTCACCGAAAAGTTGGATCTTTCCTGGCATATTGCTTCCTTGGTTTTCCTGTCCATTTCATCCTTCCTCTTTGATGGTTTCCTGGAGTTGTTGGTATACATCACACTGTTGATTTATACACCTAGGTTATCATCCTTTCATTACTCTCATTCCTCATGTCATGCTGTCCTTTTTCACTTAGATTTCTACCAGGAACCTATCTGTTTCCCCTGTTGCAGGCTTTTGGGCAGTTTTTGTCTTCCATTTTTGGTTTACTGGTTTTGCTTCTGTGTTATATTTTTTATTGTTCATGCTCCCCACTTGGCTTCTCTCCAGGATTTGGAACCTCCGTGTTGTCCTTCGTGTTTTTTATAATCCTCCATTTTAACCTTTGTTGGTAGATTTGTTCTTTTATTTTATTTGCTGTCCTGGTTCATAATATTGTTGGCCTGTGGTCACTGTTTTTCGCACATGTTTTGTGATTAGGTTTTGCTATGTTTGTTTCTTCTCCCAATTTTAGGTCCATTCTGCTCCTTTACCCACCCAGGACCTTTGGATTTCTAACACATGCACTGTGTTCTTCAGTAGTTCCCAGGTCAGCTTGTTTCTTCATTGGAATCCTACCCTTTCCCATGATTTTTTTCCCCCCATTTGTCTTATGGACTGGATTCGCCAAACACTTTGCCTGGTATATTCTTCCTTTTTTCTGGATGTATGTTGTCTTTTTCGTGTTTTTTCCCATCAGATCTGTTACCATGTCCCTGGCTACTCTTTCTCCATCTTCTCTGAGATTACATCATCAGTGTGGGCATGTGGGCTACTCCATTTGTTTTTCATTTCTTTACAGGGGCCTTTTGTCACATATGTTTTGGATCTCGATCTGTGCCGAGTGGTTCCTGTCCAGGTATAATTAGTATCCAATCTGCATTGTACATTCTTTGACCATGCTAGATGATTATAAAATTTAGTCGCTTCCTACCACAACCCGGTGAACAATTCCAGATGCTGTCAGGTGTTGGTTGATTGACTCCATCCACGTGGTAGCTCTGCTTTCAATATAGGGTATCGTGGTCAACCATTGCACTGTCTCCGGTGATTCAGGCCTTCGGAGTATCAAATGCATTTGTCCCCCTTTACTAGAGTATGGGAGTCCTTGCCACTTACCAGTTCCAAGCTGAAGATTAAAGTTAGAGGACTCTCTTCCTACCATGGACCTGACGTACAATTCCAGTTGTTGCCAGGTTTTGCTTGAGGGCGAAGTCTCATTTACAGGCTGTTGTGCCCTAGCCACTCAACACCTAGGGGTCCTATTAATGATGAATACATTTGGAGGTTTATCCATGTTTCAGCCATTTCACTTTAGCGACAATTCACTTACGAGCAAAGGGTATACTTAGTTCAGAAATGGTGCAGTCTCCCAATGTGTGATGTTTCTAATTCCTTTTCCATGCTTTTTCCACATTATTTAAGGAATTTATTTTTTGCTGATACTAACTAGCTCACAATAATCGTAGTGGTAAAGTGTTGTATCCATTTATCTCTACTCTACTGGAGTAATTTAATAGGCTTTCATTGGTCACTAGACATTGTGAGGGAGGATTATATAAAGTTTTATGTAATATTGGTGTCATTTTTCTAGAGACAAAAAAAAATCTGTGACATTGCTTGAAGTAAACTAGTTTCTGTATGTCTTTTAATTAAAGTTATATTCCAATCTTGTTTCAACATTAGTTTCATTAACAGTATTGGTTTAAATGTTAAATAATACAAACATATTATTAGGTTGTCAAGAAATTAATGTCGCATTTTGGAACACTTTCATTAACCACCCCCCAGAAAAAATGTACATCACGTATGATAGAAAATGAACTGCCTAAACATCACATTAGTGTAGCCTATATAATGTGTAAAGTTTAGTATACTCTAATTCTTTATAGTGATGGCACACAACAAGACACACATTCGGCATGTAATGCTGTTTGAATACAGAAGGGAAACGATACCTCTGTAGCCACAAAGAATATCAAAGAAGCTTATGGAAATGTTTTGAATAATTGTAAGTGTCAACGATGGTTCAGCAAATTTTGTTCAGGTGACTTTAG